TGATAGCCGTTGCTTTAGCACCTTTAGGCATCTGCCCTGAAGAGAAAAAGTGCTTTATAGCTCTGCATAAGAAAAAACCAGATAAATGCCAAGTTTTTTGATAGAAGCCAAAGGAGAAACCGTCCGGGCCCGGAGCCGAAGAAGGCACCCCTTCAAACACAACCTTTTTAATCTCATCATTAGAAACCGGCAACACCAGGCCCTCCAAAAGATGAGAAGGAACCAAATTACCAACAGGCAGATTATGAGAGCTTTCAAAGATTGGAGAAGGAGCATTGAAGAGATTCTGGAAATGATTAATAAGAGCTTTAGAAATGTCATCATGAGAAGAAAGAACCCCATCGGGGGTAGTAAGCTCTTTAATCACATTTCTGTTCTTCCTTGACTTGATCTTGGCATAAAGAAAACCAAGATCATCCTCGCCTTGGGTTAGCCAGAAGGCTTTAGCCCGTTGAGAAATCCAAGAGTACCAAGCAGCTTGAAACATAGCCAACTTCTCACTAGTATGCTTAAGATGAGAGTTCAAAACAGAATTCAAAGGGTCCTTTTGAATATCATTGATGCAGTTGAAATAGGCATTTTTTAACTCAAGAATACTGTTAGAAATAAAGTTAGAAGAATTCCAGGTCTTCCCCCTAATTTCATTTTTTAGAGATCTCAAGCAGTCATAAAAGACCGCAATAGGGCTAGCAGTAACCGGTTTATCAAATGCTCTTTGAGTTAATTCCCAAAACTCATCAAAATTGGTCCAAAAGTCTTTGAACATGAATCTAGAGGCAGATTTCCTGAAAAGAGACGCATTAAGAATCAGTGGAGCATGATCAGAACCAGGAAAAGTGTCCACTTTATAAAATGCCGTAGGAAAGGAGTCCAGGAAGGCAGAATTGGTGAACATTCTGTCCAACTTGATATGGATAGGATCATCACTCCTTTGATTAAACCAAGTGAAAAATAACCCAACAGAGGCAAGGTCTTGCAATCCAGCATCAAAAACAAAATTGTTAAGTTCACCCAATCTATCATTAGCCACTGGAATACCACCAGCTTTTTCCCCACCAAACCTAAAACAGTTGAAGTCACCCATAATAATCCATGGAGAGTTCAAATTAAAAGAAATGTTGAGAAGATCTTTCCATAACACTTTCCTCTCTTCCACCGTATTAGCAGCATATACAACCGACATGTAGAAAGGAGGAAAAGAACCAGCACCAACAAGACCATGGATCAGTTGTGAAGAGGAGAAAGACGGAGTAAAATTCACATGGGCATCATCCCATTTAACCCAAATTCTACCAGGCGTAGAATGGTTAAAATTATCACAGCATTTCTCATTCTCAAACAAGGAGTGAGAGAAGGAGAACCAAGGGTCAGAAACAGAAGAGAGAGTAACCTTAGCTTCCAAAACACAAAGAAGCTTAATGTTGTGGACAGCAATAAGATCCTTACAATACTTGACTTTGATGGGATTGTTAAATCCCCGAACATTCCAAGCAGCAATAGGAGGCATGGACATGGTTATTTGTAAGGTTTGGCCTTCTTGGCCGTCTTAGGTTTCGACTTTCCTTTTTTGGATGGAGACTTAGACTGAATAGAGACCTTGGTAGAGGTAGAAGAAGTAGAAGGAGATCCTTTAAAATTTATCTGTTTTTCCGTGACGTTCCCTTCCACATTATGGGAGGAAGAGAAATCCTCTTCACAAATGAGATTACCATCAGGGTTCTCAACCCGAGCATCCTCAGCATTAGGATCCTCAACAGGAAGAGAGCCAAAGCTATTAGCAAGGATAACCATAGGCGGTAACAAATTGGCATGGTTACTGTGGAACGAAGAAGATGGGGAAGCAGCTTGAGGAAGATTGAGGTTGGGCAGAGGAGGGTTAGTTAAAATAGGATCGGATGGTAAGGTTATAGAGCAATCAAGAAGGTGTGGATCCAGTGCTGAAGGCGTTGAGGTCGCGGCAATATCAGCCGTAGGAGGTAAATCAGATTGGGCAATAGCTTTAGAAGAATGGAGGATCAACTGAGCCGCAGGTGTTGAAGAGGGGGCATTAGGTTTGCTACGAGAAGGGGGCCTTTGGGATTTAGTAGGATTGCGGCTTTTGCTTCTACCCCTAAAAACAGCTTTAGGAGGAAGGGTCGGCTTTGGGTTAGGGTTTTTGGGGCAAAGCGTAAAATTGTGGACCAGCGATCCACAACCCTCACATTTACTAGGTTTCCAGTCATACACAACCGTGAGATTAAGATCAACTCCATCAATTTCCAACGGAATGATCTCAGGAAGTTCCGAATCTTTATCCACTTTGACACAAATTCTCGCAAAGGTAAGTCTAGTTCTCTTAGCAGTCAAAGTGTCAACATATAGAGGTTCACCAACGAAACTAGCAATTTTAGAAATACCTGCCGGAGTCCAGAGGGCAAGAGGTAGATTTAGCACCTTAATCCACAAGGGTATCGAAGCAGACTCATCTCTCGTCGGCTGAAATTTGGGATTCCAGCGCTGCAGGATGAAGGGTCTTCCGAGGAGGAACCACGGACCACCCGACCACACCAAGTCGTAATCTTCCACCGCAGTAAACTTCAACAAGAAGAAGTCGTCGGCCAAGGAAAGAAGAGAAAGCGAACCTTTCAGTTTCCACAGCTTTTCCATCGACGCCAGAAGCCTTTCGTAATATGGGCGAGGACCCAAGGAATAACCAACAAGGGACAAATTCCAAATCTCTTTACCTTCATTGAGCTCATTAGGGACAAATGAAAGCTTTTTAGCAGGTTTGACGAAGGTCAAAGGCCAATCATCTCGAGAGGAGGAGGGCGCCGCAAGATTGCTAGCGTAGGAGATCGGGGGAAGAATCGGTGCAGCCCCAAGCAGGGAAGAACCAGTAAGTGGCGGAAAATCGGAGGGAAGGAGCGCCATTCCGGCCGGAGGCCGGAGCAGAGGAGGAAAACACAGCGCCGTCAAAACCCTAGCGGAGCTTCTTGTCGCATCCCTTACTTCGCATGGGAAATAATGTACGCCGTGACCGAAAAAACGCGATTTTATTTTAATTTCGGAACGGACGCGCGGCACGTTTAGGTT